TGTGTCTGAGCCTGGTGCTGTGACCTGCTGGTGACGGCGCTGTCCTCCCACAGCTTCCTCCTGACGGCGGTGGCCCTGCTCTCCAGCTACTCCATCCACCTGCTGCTCAAGTCCTCGGGCATCGTGGGTGAGTGCCAGGTCCCCAGCGGGGCCATGCTAGGGGGCATCCCCTCCTGACCCTCACCCCACCACTTCTCCTTGTCCCACAGGCATCCGTGCCTACGAGCAGCTGGGCTACCGAGCCTTCGGCACACCAGGGAAGCTGGCCGCGGCCATTGCCATCACGCTGCAGAACATCGGAGGTGAGGACAGGGCTGGGGGGGGGACCCGGCAGGGCTGGGGACAGGGGATGGAACTGGAGCATGCCGGCACAGCATGACCTTGCTCTGCCCCACAGCCATGTCCAGCTACCTGTACATCGTCAAATCCGAAGTGCCTCTCGTCATCCAGACCTTCCTCAACCTGGAGGAGAAGACCACGTGAGTGCCTCCTGCCCACGCTGCCTGCGTGCCTTCCCCAGTCAGACGCCAGGGCTTCGGCTCCAGCTGTGCAGCCCATGGCAGGGATTTAGTGCCATTAAGCCACTACTATTTTTGATAACCGTCAGTGCTGAATAAGCCCCTGGGTGGGATTAAACCAGGCTGAACTTCCAATCCCTGCTCCTCACATCTCCTTGAGATCAGACTTTCCTCCTTGAGCAGAGCCCAGGGCTGCAGGGTGGGCAACAGGAGCTTTGGTTGGGAATGGTTTCCCCTCAACCCATGCCCACATCCCTACCCAGTGGCATGGGAGGTGAGAGCTGGGCAGAGCTGCCACTGGGACCTCCACCAGTCCGGGACTGGGTGTCCCAGCCAGGCTCGACCCCGACTGCTTGACCACACGTGGGAGCAGGCCTGGACAGGGATCCTGCCCCATGGATGGCCAGGGGCAGCTTGCTCTGCTTGGGGCATTGAGGACCTGGCTGAGGCCCATTTCAGATGCTGCTACCCCAGGCTGCCCACGGGCAAACATGTGCTGAGAACAGCAGTTCTCAGCCTGCCCACAGTAGGTGTAGCCCTTGGGGGCATGCCACTATGGGACCCCAGCACAAGGGCCCCCAGGGACACTGGCCTCTGGGATCCCCAAGGATGCTGGCACAGCAGAGATGCCAGTTGCAGGAGATGCCAGTGTCCCTGGGGCTGCCAGCTCTGGTGTCCCCACTGATGGCAGACAGCCCACCCCCAAGGCTGCCTTTGCTTCTCATGCCCCAGCAGAGTGGGGCAGTGAGCTGGCCTTCTGCTTCCAGGGACTGGTATATGAACGGGAACTACCTGGTGATCCTGGTTTCTGTCACCATCATCCTGCCCCTGGCCCTCATGAAGCAGCTGGGTAAGTCAGGGGGATGCTGCCTGTGAGGTCTGGCATCTTGGAACTCCTGTGGGCTGATGGTGCCAGCCTGGGGTGGTGAGCAAGGAGGGGGCACCCA